CTGCGGGCGTAGGAGTCCGACTCGATCAAAATCGTGTCGTCCAGGTTCTGGAAGGAGGCCGTGTGGGCGCCCCGGCCACGGACGGATTGCGCAGCACATTTGGTGCCCTGAAGCAGATTGAAGGTCGGCCCGCCGTTCCAGGACTGGCCGTTGCTCAGAGTCACCGGCACCAGCGCTGCCGTGATCGCTGCCTGGACCATAGCCCGGACGCGAGATCGATGGTGGCCACCGCCGCAGCGATGGCGCTGTCCGTCTGCACCGACGTGTAGTAGGCCGCGAGTGCCGCAGCGATGGCTGCATCTCGCTGGACGATCGTCCCGTAGGGCACCAGGGCGTCCGCGATGGCCTGGGTCATCTCCGCGGCGGTGCTGTAGCGGACTAGCTGATCGTCCGTGTAGGTGTTGGCCTGCGCCAGGAAGGCCACGAGGTTCGCCGTGGCCTCCGCCCTCGTGAAGTGATTCGTCAAGGGAGCAGTGATGGCATCGTTGGCTTCCTGGCTCGTGTAGTACCCGCCGAGCTGAGCGAGCACCCAGGACTCGCTGGCCTTCGAGCGTCGGTTTGGGCGGTGCTGTAGGCGTCGCAGGTGAGCTGCAGCGTCCAGTTTTCGTTGACCAGGGCCAGGCCCATGGGGCGACGGCGTGAAAGTTGCGGATTTGGTTGGTGCCTACCAAGAGATCCCAGGTGACGTTGCCCTGCCAGGCGGGGGCGTTATAGGTTGGTTGCACCGCCGAGGGTTGCGACTTCGGCCAAAAGTCCGTCGATGGCGGACTGGAGGGACAGCTGCAGGGCCGTCAGCTCCGCCCCCATGGCGTAGGGGCCGGCGTTCTGCAGCGCGAGGATCTCCGCGTCGTGGCCGTCCAGCCGGGAATCCTGCAGGGCCTGCCCGGCGTCGTAGACGACCTGGGTAACGTCGCCGAGCACGGCCGTGGTGACATCCCCGACCGTTTGGTTTAGCCCGCGGCCTGCAGCGCTGCAAGCAGCGCCTCCGCCGCGTCGAGCCGGCCGTCCCTCAAGGCCAGCGCGGCGTTGAGGGCCGTCTGCTGGACGAAGGGCAGCAGGGCAGTTGCGATGAGCTGACTCACGTCGGCGGGCGTGGTCCTGAGAGCCACCGCGGCGGTGAGGTCGCTGGTGCTGGCCATGGGGAGCAGGGCCGTGTGCGGCGACGTCGAGGGCCAGCTGGTCCACGACCGACTTGAGCGCATAGGTGGCCGCCACCGTTGCGAGGGTGGCGTTGTTGGCGCTGGTGATGCTGCTGTTCATCGCGGCAATGGTGGGGTGGTTGGCGAGCTTGAGATTGACGCCGGTGGGCATGCTCTTGGTGCCGACCTCCACTTGGAGGGCTTCCAAGGCGGACTGGTTGGCTTTCGTGGCCAGGCCCTGGGTCAGGCTCG